TTATCGTCTTCCTCATCCTCACCCTCGTTATCAAGAAACCGGCGTGATCTATGCCCATCTTTGCCCCGGTCTCTTTACGTCCTCCCGCTTTCAGCTCCCTTGGCCCAAATCAGCCTGAGTGGCATTTCAGAGAGATTATCGAGCTTTAAAAAACCGGGTTCGAAAAGGGTCCCCAACCTGCAGCTTTAGGCTTTGGAGGCAAGAGTCTCCCTGGAGATGGTCTGGGCTCCCTCGCTCTCCGGGTGTCTGCCTCTGTTCTGCTCTCCTCCTCTCTTTCGAGCCTCCTGCTAAATTGACTCCAGGAGCCTCGGCTTCTTAGCAATAAATAAGCTCCAAATATAGAAGAGGGGGAAAATATGATGAGTCTCTCTGACATTTGTCTTTAAAATAAAACTAGCTGCACGTCAAGTTTGAGCTTAATTTCTGGAAATAGGCGGAAGTCGCCCCGGATCATGCATGGAAGGCTAATTGAAAAGATCAGTTGGAGCGTTTGTGGCAGACATGTCACTTTATGACAGTGCTCCGCTTTTGAAAATTGCATCGTCACGACAAACAGGAGCATGATAAAAACGACCCTTTCTGTCCGGATTTGGGTATCACTCCGACGAGATTGAACTCTACTCGTTTCCCCTTCGAGGAGAAGCGACTTTTTAAGGTAGCCACGGGGCCAGTGCGGACACAACCGAGGGGGCACACTGCCGCCTCGATAAATCCGAAGTGACATGCGAGAGGAGGAGGAGGAGGTGCTGCTGGGTGGAAGGGGACGGGGAGAGGAGAGGAAGGGAGCGACTTCCACGTTTGGCGAGGGGGGGGGAAACACCCCATCACAACAACGCTGGAGAACGTAGGAGACCCACCCCCACCCCACCTCGACATAAACTGCAGCACATAGACGGCAGAGAGCTTGCCCTCTTCTCTCTTTCTTAGATGCACCCACTCATCTTCCGTCACCCCCACCCCCACGACCAGAAGGGGAGCTTCCGTCCCCGAGTTGAGGAGGAGGGCCATCCCGTGCCCCTTTTTAATCCCCTCCACCACCACTCATAGGTGTTTACTTCCAGCGGGAGCAGGCCACATTTGCCTCCCCCCCCCGCCAGCTTTCTCTCTTTCCCTCTCTCCCTCTCTGTCTCCCTTACCCCTCCCATTGCCCTGGATTGTGGAGGAATCTGGGTTGCCCGCTCTCAAGGCGCACAGGGACCCGATCCAGCCCAAACGAAGCACTTCTCAGATCTATGGTTTTTCAGGGGGAAGAGCGGAGCACGTGCTTTCTTTCTGCCCGTTGAAACCAATGGCTCTTCTTTCCTAAAAACCTAGAAAGGTGGTTTGGTGGTGTCGTATTTTTTGAAGCCTTGGCCTGTTTTGGAGATCCACAGGCAAGATCTCTCTCTCTCTCTCTCTCTCTCATGCACTCACATTCCCTCTGACACATACTCAGGCCTGTGGATAGGAAGCCATTTGCCCTCAATCTCGCTCAAAACGTCCCTCGTTCCTTCCCACGTGTGGCAGCGAAGAAAGCCCAACTCCCAAGTTCCGCATAAAAAAAAGGTTAAGCCTTAATCAATGCCTTAATTTCCCTGGAGAGCGGAGGCAGTTCGAGCCTAGTGGCAATGATTATGCGCCTCTTCTTTAGGGCAGAGACATCTAATAGGAAAACATATGGTGTCAATTTGGACGCTCGGCACCAGATACACCCAGGAGTTCTTCACACAAAGCCGAAAGAGCTTGCCGGCCACCTTTCAACAAAATCCAAGCTTCAGCCGAAGGGGCTCCCCGCCTCGCACCGGCATTGCAAGGGGCAGTAGCCGGGTGGAGAAGCGAGAAGAGTCATTTGCGTGCAAGCGCCCGCGCAAAGGCATCCGCTCGCCGCAGAAACCAGGGTGCGCGCTCCGGCTATGAGCCAGTACCAGGAACATTGCGGCCTCGCCATCTTTATTTCTGATCTCTCTCTCTCTCTGTCTCCTCGCGATCCTTAGAGGTACCGGGATTTGGGAAAGCAGGGCGCGGAAAGATCCCACGAAAATCCATCCCTTTCCAGGTCGGAAAAGTTTGGGACGGGAACGCGAGATCTAGTCAGGAATGTGGTCTCGTAAGGGTGTCGTCAAACAAATTTACACACACACACGCACACACGCACACACACACACACACACACACACACACACACACACAGAATGAATATTTCATTCTCACAACCTAGGCATTTGTGAGATGCCCCCCTATGATCTATGCTTATCTACTCAAGAGAGGCATCTCACGGGTTTGATGAGGCCTACGACAAACGCGCCCGCAAGAGTTTCCCTCGGCTCTGACCCCTCGGCGCTTCATTGGCAATAAATGCCACTGAAATCATCAGCGGAAGGGCAAAGGGACGCCTACTCCACCTAAATACCTTTGGCTGCTGAATCAAGCCGGCGGAGGGCCAGATGCCCTGAGCGCCTACTTACTTTTACTTGGAAGGAAATACCACTGAGTTCGGTAGGGCTTACCACCAAGAAAATGAAATTACAACCACTGAAATCTGAGGAGACGAGGAGAGCCCGGATTATGTTCAAGAAAGGAAAGAGGCCAGACCAGGGGTGGGGTGTGTGTGAAAGTTAAAAACAACAACTATGATTCTCGAGTTTCGAGGCTGGCTACCTTCCCTTCTGAGTAAATTCGAAGGGCTTTTGACTTCTAAGGAAGTAACTTTAGAACGCAGTAGTTTAAAACAGCAACTCGTTCAGCACAGTCTTTTCGAAGGTGCCTTTTCTGGAAAAGAAGAGGCGGGACCAGCCAACATTAAATATTTCCCAACAATCCGCTCTTGTTTAGAAGTAAACCGCGTTGAGTTGAGTGGATCTCACTGGCTGTGTACGAGGTAAATAAACGACTGTGTATAAGATCGCAGCTTTAGCCCACCGGATCTCCGGAGGCGAGCTTTAAGTATGTGGTTAACTTTCCCCTTGAATCGAACGGACTTTCAAAAGCATCCTTTGAGCAAGATTGAACCCTGGGCCCGACCCATCGTCGTGAATACATGAAGTGGACATTTAAATCTATGGGACTCACTTCCCCACAAAGGTGAGCAGGAAATTGTACTCCCTGCCCTAAATAAATATATTTGTGAGGAAATAAGTACCACAGATTTCAAACAGCGGATTTATTTTGCAACTTCAGAAATCCGTGAGAGATAATAGTTTTGTCGAACACTACGTTTGGAAACCTCACTAGAGTTTAAGTATAGTAGGACTTCGAGTTTAAATCAATTGACGCCATCCGGCAGTAGATGAATCCGCAGCGGATCCATCCAGTTCCAACAAACAACAACAACTGCAAATAGAGAGTGAAGGGCTGGGGTGGGGTGGAGATTGTCGTCCGATTTTTGGAAACGAAAATCCGTGTGGAATTCAGTCCCCAATCTCTTTGTTCAGGGCGTTTGCCTGTTTTCCTCATCCTATCACTCGTGATTACCGCTCCAGAAGGGGGGATATTATGGGTAGGTTTTCCTCACGCAAAGAGCAGTCAGAATAAGCCTTCTTTCAAGAAAAGTCCCACTAAAATGAAAACGACATGACTCCTTCTAAAGAAATGGACGTAAAGGAATCGAGTCCCAAAGACCGTAAGGGAAGCCACTAGTTGGATGCTGGAAGCCTGGTCTTCGAGACAGCCAGATGAAACGGACAACATCGTAGTGAAATTGACACGGTCTCAGTTATTCTCGCCAGCAAACCCTCAGCTCGCTCCGCAACCATCCAGGGCTTGTTGATCTGACGGCTCTTAAACAAGTACGGTCCGTAACCGAATTCTAAACCCAAACGCGCACCATCGGCCGCTATTTTCTCAGCCACGGCCTCCACATTGTTGATTGATTTGACACTTGCTCTTTATACACCGCAGACGCCCGCCCTCAGATTCTCTAGGCCTCATGAAAGCACAGAGCAGGGCTAGGGACATGGAAACTTTTCCTGACACATTTTGCACTTTGGCTTCTGCTGCATTTAGGTTGCGAAAAGCAAGATCTGAAAATCTTTTCGGAGATCCGATTCAAGGACCAAAAATAATTCCAGTGTGTGCGTGTGAGAGAGAGCGTGCCTTGGTTTTGGAAGAGACTGGCATTTATTGCAAGCAAAGAATAACCGAAACCATCACCACCACCACAACAGACGCGACTGCGTCGCTGGAATCTGGCTCTGACGGCCCTTCCATGCCCGGCCTTCTGGACGGTGCTGGGCTTTATTATGACAACAGACCCAAACTGCGAAGCTGACTGGGGGCTCATCCAACTTTCCCGCCTTGCCAGCCTGCTCAATGCGGTTAGGACGGATCTTCCGGCAGCCGTCTCTCCAATTCTAAAGTCACTAGCACAAATCCCCTCGATTTCAGTGACACTTCCTTCTACGTCTCCAAGTTACTTTTTCTGGGGGGGGGAGGGGGAAGCTGTGGTCTTAAACTGAGGCGCCTTCTTTCAAAAGGGCTTCGGCGCCGCCATACGCGCTCCTTTCCCCGGCGCCACAACTCCGATTTTCACCCGGCGAGAAGCGCAGCGTGTCAGCCACACACTTCGATTTAACGCATCCCCTCTTTTTGCCCCCAAGAAATCCCGAATCTACCCAGGCTTCTCGGCCCAAACACTTCAGGGCGATGCACACTCCATCACCGTGAGATATGGGGGGGGGGCTGGAGGGGGTCCCGGGTGTGTGTGCCGGGGGTGGAAGCCAGTCAGCACAGAAGGAAGGCCAGGGGAAAGGATGCGAGCGTCACCAGGAGAGGTGTGTCTCTCAGGCCTCCCCCGGTAGTGAGGTTCCTCTCACCTTCTCCTCACATTCAGAGCACTTTTCTCACGCCTGCCTCCCAAGCACAAAAGAGCCTCCTGCTCCTGGTTAGCGCGGATGCCTTCCACGGGCCTCTGACCTGGAGACAGGTTAATTCCACAGGCAGGGAGGGGCCAGCCCAGGTACGCGCCATCCACAAAGCAGCTGCCTGAGTGAGGCCCCTCCGGTCCTCTCAAGGCACACTTAGTTGGAAGTACGTCCCTCTGAATCGAAGGGCTCTTCCCTCCCCCCAGGTAAGCTTGCCTCACAAATCTTCCCTGGGACAACAAAGAAGGGAGCCGCCACCCCATCTCTCCTTCTCCCAAGAGCGCCAAAGCGCCTCACTCGGGGCGGGGGGGGGAAGCGCGCTCCCTTGGTCGCTGCTCACCCAAACCGCTGGGTGTTGGACCTCTTCAGCCCTCCCGCTTCCAGAAGAAACCGCTTCAAATATGATTAGTATTTTGAAAATGTGAAACTCTACACCTTTTGCACCTCCCCCGTCTCCCACCGCAGGATTCAGGGGAACGCGGTTCTTCCCGCACCACTTTCTCAACCCGGCAGAGCCGTTCAATAGAGGGCGAATCACTTACTGTTCTGCATGGTGAACTGAGGGCGCAGGATCCCACGTGGCTCGCTTACACGGTTCTAGGAGAGAGAAAACACAGGCATAAATCAGAGGGATGGGATGGGGAGAGCCAAACTCAGAGGCGGTCCCGCCATTCTTCTCTCCAGGTACTTCCCCATCGATGGCCGAGTTTTAAAGGGGGGATTGGTAGGGCTGGTTTTTCCCTTTCCTTTCGTAAACTGTATATACTCCCTCCCAAGTCGGACCCCTCTCCTACCAAACCTCTCAGTACTGTCATCGAATATGTTAAATCAATTCTTTTTTTTTTAAGTGTGGGCTCTTCCTTCAGTAATATTGCCCTGAAAGTGAGAGGGAAAACACGCGCTTCTTCACCTCCGAGGCAATGTGGAGGAAAAGGGATCGGTAACCATTCTTGTGAAGAAAGAAAGAAAGAAAGAAAGAAAGAAAGAAAGAAAGAAAGAAAGAAAGAAAGAAAGAAGGAAAGAAAGAATCGGAAAGGTGCTTCAGACTTGCCTGATTTATGAGCGGACTCTCCTCTCATACAATTTAAGGGCTCACACATCTGCGTAGCGCTAGTTAAAGTCTTCTTGCTAGGATGGGGAAAAAAGTATATTAAAAGTATATTAAGTTCTTTTTAATGTACGCCCTCCCCCCTCATAGCGCCGCCTCGCAGTTGGGTGCAGCATAGAGTGGAGAGCCACGTCGTTCAAAAGATTCAACACGCACACGCACAAGCACGCACGCACACACAGAGAAAACAATAGAATACTGCAAAGTTTCCAGCACGCCTTATTGGTGCGCCTGTTGCAAGTCTAAAGAGTTCTGATCTGTGACACTTTTTTGTGTCTGTATTTACAAACAGGAAGGACCTCGACTTTGATTTGATTCGATTTTGCTGGAGTGAGCCGGCGGTGCATCTCTGCCCTTGACAAGTTTGCACTTTGAGGACCAGGAACCCTGGCTTGGAAAAAAAAGGAGGGGGCAGCCGAGTTTGCTAGTTCTTTTTGGTTTGAAGGGAGGCGAGCATTTCTAGATTGCTTATGGGGAAATACCAAATCTGTCTTCTACATGTGCGTTTGCTTGCTTGCTTTAAAATCAATGTTTGATATTTACGTTTGAAACTGAGGGCTGGCGATTCTTTTAGTGGCATTAACAATTGCACCCACCCACCCCCTTATTTTGAAATGAGAGAGAGAGAACGCGAGAGAGAGAAGGGGGAAGAAATCCACTTATTGTGATAAACTTCTTTTTTGGTCTTTAGATCTTCCCCTTTTTCACTGTACTGTGACACACGCTGTCTACCTCGCCTCAGTGCTTTAAAAAGTAAGATCAGGAGGGGGTGAGGACTGCGAGCACAAAGCCTACAGAAGGCGAACAATGGCCTCCATTTTACTCCCCTACCCAGCCCCAGAGCGCGAGACCCCAGCCAGCCAGGGCTGCCGGCAGCTTCCCCACTGGACGGCCCAACAACCCTCCAACTTACAAAGAAGAGGGAAATAAGCCCCCTTCCTCCCTTCATTAGGGCCTACCTTGACCCCGAGCCTGGACAGCCCAAAGCCTGCTTGCCGTGGGGGTTTAGGGTGGGGCTGGGGGTTACTAATTTTTTTAAAGCCACATTTAAAAAAAAAAGATTTCTGGTGTTCTTGCATGCAGGCATACGTGTATTTAATCCGAGTTCTTTCTGTTAGATTCCCAGCCTAGCAGGGAGAAAATAGAAAAGTAATTTCTCGTTATAAATATCTGGAGGTAATTATGTTACTGGTGTGAGTTGTTAGGGGTTGTAAAAAGATACAACAGCGCAGTGGGGTGCTCAATTGGGGTGAGACAATTACAATAAAGAACCTATTCAAGAGGTTCTGCTTTTAAAAAAAGAGAAGGGGGAGAGAGAAGCCAGAGAGATAGAGGAGGTAAAATAATGAAATAGTGGCAGCCTTCATTTTCTTCATTCCCCCACCCCCCCTTTATTTTTTGAAGGCTAAAAAAAGAAAAAGAAAAAGAAAAATACCTAAGAATCCGATGTCCTTTATTTCTGGGCTCTAATGAGCATTAATTTTTAGTCGCCCCCCCCCTTACATACAGCCAAAGTAATCGAGATCCAGCTTGCGTAGGGTGTGATTTGTGAAGTGGTTTTTCAAAGCTAACCCGTTTCCAAAGAAAGAAAATCAGTCTGGCTTTCTCGCAGCATGAAAGAGACTTCCAGTGGTAAATATTTACTCCGCTCTGAAGAAGCACCTGATTCAGAGCCGAGAAAGCGGCCTCGAATCGTCTTCAGAGGAAGCCGGGGAGGGGGGGGGCTGGTTCCTGGAAGTTCTCGGGCAGGCGCCCCTTTAACACACCAAACACGTCTGCCGGGCCACACGCTCCCATACAGAAAATCGTTCAGAGGCACACAGACTCCTCGCCGTGAGAAGCGGAGAGTTTGGTACAGAAAATGGGAGAAAGACTATTGTTCACGCTTCTAGGCTGCGCAGCTAACTGACGAAATTCTCTTTCTTTCTTTTCTTCCTTTTTCAAAAACACACACACCCCATTTTAGATGTATTTGGTGGCTACAAAACCGATGTCCAGCCAGTCTTAAAATACCAAAAATAACAAAACTCCGTTGTTCTGGCACATGGGTGATGGAAAGGGAAGGGGGAAGTCGGGTGGTGGTGGTTGTGCTTTGCAACCACTTTAATTGCAAAGTACTTTGAGGAGCACCAGCATCGGCGAAAACAATCATCCTTCCCTTCCCCCACCCGGAAACATAATCACAGCGGAGTTTCTCTCTGCCGTTAGGCCGATCTTTCGACTACAGCCTCGCCCCCACGTATCTCTCTGGGTGTAAACCTCGTAAATTCACAGAGGCGGAGGGAGTCCTTAAAAAAAGGGCCCTTCTCTCGGGTTCCTGGTAGCTCTCAGGTCCTAAGAGAACCGTCGCGTCCTCACCGTGCCTGGCTAGGCCTAATCTGTGAGTCTTAAATCTCGAAATCTGTCTCTAATCTGATCGTGTTCGGGATTTGATCCTCCTCTCCCTCACAAACATAATTAGCTATCAAGATGACAAACGCTTACAATCGCGAGCCAAATAGGCAAAAGATAAACGCTAATCCATCGGCGTGGAGACGCTTGCAAAGGTCACCAGCTATAAAAATTTATTGAGAAAGACCACAATTATTATTTCAGGCCTGTAAAAAGGCACAACCGCCAGCCATAACACATAGCTTCACTTTGCAAAAGTTAACGACTCCACCAACTCGGTAGGCCTGAAAACTTTATTTTGCAAACCTGGTCAGAATAGAATTTCTCCCTGGCTTTTACCACCAAATTTCAAAAGAAGCGTTAAAACTCTGTATTTAAAGTCAATAGGTTTCCTTAAACACACTCTAACCCCTGGGAGGAGTTAAAGAAAACAGACAGGATTATTCCTGCACTTGTTAATCGATTACCCGCACCTGCTTTTTTCTGTGCAGGTTTATTGAACAGTTGGTGTCATTTATTTCCATGGGAGTTTTATCCCAAAATCTGTGTGGATGGGAGCACAGCCTGATGAGGGTTGTGCTCCCATCCGAGCAGGGAGGGATGAGGGCAGGGGAGGCTTCACGAGGGTCACAAGTACCAACATGATCCTGAATTTTTCCGGGACCTGAAACGAACCTCTAAGATGATTTTCAAGTACACACATACCGGGAGAAATTATTATTCCGAATATCCCGGTCTCTCTCCCTTTCTCTCTCAGAAGCAAGCGGGGGGCATTTCCTTGTCTAGAATATTTTTGGGGAAAGCCTTGCTATTGATCAGGGCTTCTCCGGAGCGCCAAACCCAGGAATTAAAAAGCAAACACAAATCTCCCAAGAAAGAAGACCCCTAAATAGGGTGCAGTGAAGGACTCGCGCTTCGTTTGCTTAAAACGAAAAACGCCACAGCACACCAAACAAAACAGTTTGCAGTTCTTGCCCTGTTGTGATCCTCTTAGGAAGTTAATTCAGGTTCTCGTGGTGGGCAAGTTTGGGGGAGATCTCTCGGCTCCTTGATTTAGAGTGACAGTCCTTCAGCTCAGCTCAGACCTTCCCGGATACAACTACGGAGACCTGACTTGGCCTAGAATGTGACTCTCTCTCTCTCTCTCTCATTCTCTCTTTCTCTCGTCCACGACCCCCCACCCCCACCTCTCCACAACCTCTCGGCATGTCGTCTTCTTTTTCTATGTCTTTACGACCAGTTAGTTTTGATAAAAGGCACATTAAAGAGAAGGAAAGGAGAGGGGTTCCTAAACGAGAACAACTCCTCAACGCGCGAAGGCACACACATTCATACACACGCGTGGGGATACAGGGGAGGGAGGGGAGGGAAGCGGGGGCACCACGCTCCGGTGAATCCGACTTCCTAAGAAAGCAACTGCTAAATGAGCGCCGAGCGGTCATAAACCATCCGGAACAGACGGAACAAAACAAATGGGAAATTTCTCTGTAGGAATCCGGCGTGACTCGATCGTGTCCGTGTATGGATGGATGGAGAGATGAGTAGATTCGGATCTCCACACGCTGGGTCTCTCCCCCCCCCGTTTCTCTTGAGAAACTGGGGCACGTTTTTTGGGCGCCCCTCTATCCAGTCAAGGGGAGGGCGAGCTTGCTGCTGTTGCTGTTTGATGCGGCTGCTGCCACTGGCTTCGCATTTGAGACGCTCTTCCAGAGAGAGGGGGGGAGAGGGAGGGAGAGAAAGGGTATGTGTATTGGGGGGGGGAAGAATATGAGTGGAAGAAGAGCGTGGTGGTGGGGAACATATAACTGAAAGATAGAGTTTGGGAGGTTTTGGACCGGCGTCTCCCTCTAGGACTTTTTCCCGGGATGTGAGAAGTGGGGCTCCGCAAAGAGGGTGTGCGTAGGGGAGAGAGCCAAAGAAAAGAGAGTGCGAGAGAAGGATGATGTGTGGCTGTGGGGAGGGGGGGGGAGAAGAACAGAGCGAGCGAGCGAGAGAGAGAGGGCGAGACCTGTCTAAATATTAAAATGAACTGAAGGGAGAAGTCGGGAGAAGAAACGAGCAGACTCACCTTTCTGCGGCATCCTGCCTTGTTGTCAAAGCTCCTGTCAATAGTGTTAAAAAGCGCCCCTGATTTGAAATGATGGTGCCTTAAAAAGGGTTGCCAGTAAAAGAGTTTTCCTCCACTGAAGCTGCTGGTTGTGTGATCTTGAGTTCCTGGGAAGAAGACAGAGATTGACAATAAAATGGGCTGTCACTAACAGGAGAGGGAGAAAGAAAGAGGATGTGAGAGAAGTAAGCAGGCAGAGGGGAGGCGAGAGACGCGAGGGGGGAGAGGAAGAGAGCTAGGGAGAGGGAGAGGGAGAGCGAGCGAGAGAGAGAGAGAGCACACCTATGCTGATTGGTGATGGTTCAAGTGTATGAATGCAGGGGTGTGTGTGTGCGTGTGCGCGCGCCTGGGTCTCTGCCTCGCCTCCCCGGCTCTCCACTGGCCCATTAGCGAAGCCTGACCTCTGTCATCATCTTCCAGCAAAACACTTCCTCCCTACGCCTTAACCAGAGCGGGAAATGAGGCTGAGCCCTTTTCAAACCCACTAATCACTCCACGCATGCAAATGCTCCGCTCGCTCCCACACAAAATATTGCTTTATGCAAAGCAACGCCAGGGCCTCCCAGCTGCCGATTGGATGTTCACTCACATTGCCTGGTTCAATTGGCCCATTTGTTTGAATATGAATGCCCTGGCCTCGCTCTCTCTCTCTCTCGCTCTCTCTCGCTCTCTCGGCCGCCGCCACCCCTCTCTTGCTCCTCCTTGTTTGGCTT